CTGTATTGTTTCAGTGTAGATTATTTCCACTTTTTGTGTTGGTTAATGCTTATCACCCTATTGATTGCTGGGCTTGTGATAAGAGAGAATGTGCTTCATGATGTTTGTTTTAAACATCTTCCAAAAGTCTTTGCTTTTTGGAATAATTTGTAAACTACTCTCTATTTCTGCAATATGTCTCTATTAATGATTGATCCATCAGAATGCCAGGCTTATAGGAAATCTTTAGTATTTTTGAATTCAGCTTGATCTGAAATGACTACAGTTTCCCACTTGAATTTGTGGTTATATTTGTGTTATTATATTGCCAAGTTAAAGAATTTTCACCATAAATCCCGAGAGCCTGCTGGTATTCAGGGACACATGCTGCTAATCCTCTGCCTGTTAGTAGCTTTCATAATCCTTGCATTGTAAATTTTAAATAAATCCTCTTCGGCCTTCTTTAATTGTTGGAACTTTGGGTTGGCTTAAGATGCTTTGGAAGTACTTTGTTTCTGTGTGGCCTACCATGATATCTTGCAGTTGAACTAATTTGCTGCGGTTTGAGATGACCTTGATATATGGTTACCCAGCAATTAATATATAGATAAGCAAAAAACCAAATACAATAGGCAGGAACAATCTGGGATAAATTTATAAAGCCAAACTAAGGCAAGTAGGCCAATCAGAAATAGACACAAAAACAACAGACAAAACTGATTGAGGAATAAGTTACACAGGGTAGCACAAATTGCCACACATAAAAAGGCAGTAAACGCACTCCTTTAAGTCAAAGCATTAAAGGTGTTACTTCATTTGCAAGCATAAAACCAAGTTCGCCATGCACAAGTTCCTGACAGGAACCATTTCTTCATTCCTTTCAGAATGTCAAAAGTGCAAGTATTTTTTCCTGAACTCCAACTTTCAGCTGTAGTAAGCTCTAAGTAAGTATATGTATGTAGAGTGTGATCTAAGGTCAACATGTATGCATTATTCTAATTCTACCTCTGCCCACTCTTCCAAATTCTAACATTAAGAAGGGGATTACAGATATCAGTGGCAAAATTTCAACCTTCTCTGGATCATTCCGGTAACTCATATTGGCCTTGATCTACTTGGTGCTTAAGACAAGCAAAACCTTTGATCGTGTTTCCCGTCATTTTCAACCCCACTGAAACCTTCCTGTGATGAATAAATAACAAACTGTGCCAAGCCTTTTCCCCTTCAGCACTCTTCCTTGGACTGTGCCTTCAAATGCTTTGAACCACTCACGGACACTGCTTAATGCATTTTAGGATCACTAGCCATGTTTTCCCTGGCTAGTGACCAACATCCATCTTCAATAGCCACTGGAGCCATCTAAGTCCAAGTTAGCCATTTTAGCTCCCAGGCATCACCTCACTTTTCAAGATTTCTCCTTCTTACAGTCCTCCTTGGATTTAAAATCGTCTTCCTTTGCTACCTGATATCTGCTCTTTCTCTTATGAGAACAATTTCCTTTCAGAATCCTCATACCTACTTTCAGCAAGGATTTTTAACAAACATTAGACAAGTTAGGTATTTTACAAGAATAAAATACTTGTATACTTGTTTCCACATCATACATTTCTTTTGTTTCTTTCAATATTTCCATATAGCTTCCATAAGAAGATCCACTCCCTACTTTATCGCATTTGCAAATGATTGCCTTAAGCTAAGTTTCTTTTATCTTGGCTGTGATAACATACAGAGTCCCATGATTTGATGAGAGTACATCACACCACCAGAGGTTTGTCTTTTGATCTGAACTATTGAGTGAGAGACAATGAGTAGTGTGCCTCTGATACTCACTGTGTGTTTTTGAGTGTGCAAATATTTTAAATTATCCTGTTCTTAGGATCTTTCTCGGGCATTTTGAAAGAAAAAGCAAGGTCAAATTATCTGTTTTGGAGTCCATTCATAATTCTTCTAATATGATCAACAATAATAGAGCTGGAAGGGGAGATGTTTGAATAAAGCTGTTTTAAATATCTTGGAAAGATGTCCAATAATCTGCAAGAATGAAGGTTCTCAACATTAATTTCAAATTAAACCAATATAATATCCAGAGTGACTAGAATTTCATAAATCTAACATTTGTTAGATTTATTTCCAACGTTTTCTGCAGGAGGTGACTTAGAAGGGATCTTATTTCACGCCATAATTCCATATCGTAGGTTGGGCTGAGAAGTTAATCAGTACATTTCCATGGTTGACAATGGACTTGAATCTGGACCTTCCCAATTCAGATCCAAACATTTGGAATATTTGATGGTGCATGTACCCTGAGAAAGTTGTCAACCTTTAAGTATATGTGATAGGTGCATTTTCCTTGAATCTGCTTAATTTTTTTAAGGCCCCTAAGGTATCATCACATGATGTGGCAAATGAATTTTATATCTATCCATGCATCATGTATTAGTGGATTAAAAATTTCCAAATGGTGCAGAGATGAAGAACATCCATGGACAAATATATTTAATATGCAACCTGAGCAGATTAGGACATGGCTACAGCTATTCACATGTTGGTCATATAAGAATTAGACTACTACACATTGATTTGTAATTGGTATTATTTTAACTCTTCTTTTAAACTATATTTTTCAAGTAACAGGTATTTCTTCATAGTTCACTTCTTTAACAATCTTCTTTGTTGAAAAAATGAGATCTAAAGAAAATGAATTATTAAAAGTACAGGTAGTCCTCAACTAGAGTTTATTTAGTGACTGTTCAAAGTTGCAACAGCACTGAAAATAGTGAATTATGGCCATTTTTCACACTTACAACTGTTGCAGTATCCCCATGGTCATGCAATCAATATTCAGATGCTTGGCAACTGATTCATATTTATGACGGTCGCCGTGTCCCAGGGTCATGTGATCACCTTTTGTAACCTTCTGACAAAGTCAGTAGGGAAGCTAATTTCACTTAACTGTGTTACTAACAACTGCAGTGATTCACTTAACAACTGTGGCAAGAAAGGTCATGAAATGGGTCAAAACTCACTTAATAGCATCAAAAATGTTGGGCTCAATTGTGGTTGTAAGTTGAGGACTACCTGCATTGTCAATCAATGTGATCCAATTAAAAAGAATTTTAGCAAGCAGAAATGTTGAAAATACAGGAGGAACAGGAAAACAGGAAAGTAAAATGCTAACCAAAGGGAATAGAAGGTATAGTTTTCATAAGAGTTTTCATAGCATGAGGATCAAATTAAATGTGCTGTCACATTTAAAATCAAAACATGCTGTCACATTTTTATAATTATAAGCTTACAAATAGCAACAAAGGAACAAGCCTCATTGCTCATATTATTTTCTTGCAGAGTGTCATCTTGGAATGGTGTTTGAGCAAACTTTGTGTGGAGGCAAGGGTTAAGATTTCTTCCTCCTACTAAAGGCAGGTAGTAACAGTAGCAGCTCTTGCTATTTTCATAATTCCGTAAGACTGGAATGTAATAAACACATATTTCTCATGCTATTTGGTTCAACTCTTGGTGAACTTCCAATTCTAAAATTTCATAGCAAAACCGTAATAAAAACCATAGCATAAACTGAAAGAAATAAAGAACCAAGAACCAAGAAGGAAAAGATGAAGTTGGAATAAATATTTAAGGAATAGACAATTTTTGCTAACTGAAGTGGAGATCACGCTACATTAAAAATGTGAAATCTACACAATAATTACATATTTTACAGTGATATAGTGTATATCATTGTATACAGTAGTGCGTATAATAATGTCCTTTTTAGCATATAAACAAAAAGAATTATCCACAGAGAGGGGACAAAACTAAGATGGTACCACAGGTGGGACTATGCAAGCAAAAAGTAAACCCTTCTGATACCCACGACCCCAAATCCCTTTTTCACCCTGGGTAGTCCTGTCAGTAACTCTAAACTGTTTTGATAGCAACAAAACAACTGTGATGTAACATTTAAGATGTAGAAATGGGACTGGGAAAACAAAACAGAGCTTTTATCCAGCCATTGTTCACTGGGTTACCTTGAACCTGGCACTCTCTTTTGCAGTGTGAATATGAAGATAAAATAAGAGGATTCTCCAACATATGTTACTTTAAGCTTGCAAAGGAAAGTGGAATAGACATATGATTTCTATCTGTCAGTCAAATGTATAGCCTACAGAGATCATGCATTTCTTAAGTCTAAAACCCCAAATTAGGGAAAAAAAAAAAACAGATCCAGAAAGATGTATCTCTTTCTCTGAGGTGCTAAGAAATTCTAATGGGATAGCTGTATCTCTTCTTACAACCTGTTTCTATGTTTATTTTGTTGTTGTTTGTGTCGCTAAGTTGTGTCCGACTCTTCACAACATCATGGACCACACTCCTAAAATAGGGGCAGAAGTGAGAATGATATGGCATCTTCTCTTGGTATAAATTTATCCCTTTTGTACAGATGGAATTTCTACCTGTGCTTGAGTTTAGCAATTACTCAATATATATGGAATATTACTGTTGAAGCAGGAAACCAGTTTTTAGTACAACGATGTTGTGACATCGACAAAGCATGGGGTGGGGGAGAGAAGGAAATGCTTAGCAATGTTGTGGTCACATTGTTGTTGTTCCAGGTTACCTTCATTAGATCACTTTGCTATGAAACAGAGCTCAAAAAGCAAGAAAATGAGCAGGGGGATTTTTATTGGGAGGAGAGATAAATGAAGGAGGGACTTGAGAGAAGACAATGGTTGTTGAGGAATATTAAGTATTGTTAATCTTCTTAGACCTTCTCAAAACCCCATCACGCTTCTGGAACTTTGTCCACATTTCAGTATAAGTTGAAACAGAGTTTCAGCAGCATCTAATAGCAAATAATAACCATCCCAACCATGTTCCTTCAAATATTTAAGGCTGCAAACCCTGAAAATATACAATTCACATTTAAATAGAATACCCATAGAACCATCTCACAAATGTTCTCTAAGCATAGAAAAGCTTTTGCCAAGCATAAAATCAACCATAAACCCAGAGATAATACTCACCTTCCCCATGACTTTTCCTAAATTTTTGCAGCTCAACTGTTGGAGGCCTATTAGGCTTCTCTGGGGCTGGTCCCAATGTCATTGCAGAAGGTAGTGTTTTTCGTCTGGGCAAATTTTTGTCTTTATCTTTTTCTTCTTTTCCAGTATTATTGGCCCAAGGTCCTGTCGTAACTGTTCTAGATGAATTGACCAATTTAGCAACAATGGTACCAGAAGTAGATCTAGAATCCTCTTCTTTGTTCTGCTGGAAAATATTCCTGATGGGTTTTGGTTTTGCCTCTTCATTCTGCTGTCCAACAGGTTTAGGGGGGATTTGAGGGAGGTTATTCTGGTTGCTGACAGGTTTCAAAGGTGGAAAAGGGTTAATGGGATTGGTTTCATTTCTGTTCTTGTCCTGGGGGTCTTGGAAGGGTCCGATGGAACCAGCTTTCAACTTGAGACCCATGGAACTTGGTGATGCCTGATTGAAACAAGCACTTTTGTTGGAAACTTCTTCACCTTGGATGAAACTTTGACCTGGTTTTTGCTTAAGAGGTGGTTTTGGAAAAGGAGGCCTGGAGTTGTTTTCCTGTGTAGCAGTGTTGAATTTTTCTTTAACTCCAGCAACTGTGGGAAAGACTGGCTTTGCCTCACTTCCTTGGGGTTCAGGTTTGAACAATCTCTGATCTAAAGGTTTTGGTTCACTTTTCTGAGGAGGAGAGCCAGGTAGCCTCTTCTCAGGAATCTTTGGGAACACTGGCTTGGTTTCTTCTCTTAATCCTTCAGAAATCTTGGGAACCAAAGGCTTTGGATAGGTAGTTTTTTCATTAGCTTCTCGGCTAGCAGCCTCAGCTAGCATCTTCACCTTGCTGGCCACAGGACTGTTTTTCAGAGGTGGTGCTTTTAAATCCTTGCCTGATGCATCATGAAGAGGTTTTGTGCTCGGGGGCAATTTAAGCGATGAAGGCTTGTACAAGCTGTTGGGTTTGGAAGATAGACCAGCATTTTCAAGCTGGGCAAACTTCTCAAAGGCTGCTTTTTTAGCCAAAGGAGGGTGTCCCCCAGTTCTGACCTGATGGCAATGAACATCCTCAGCTGCGTTGTTATTAAACTTCGCCATAATGGACTTCACATTTGCCTTGCCATCCTGCAAAGTAGAAAGAGAGCAGAATCAGGACGGTTCTTTTTCAGCAGTGTTCACAAATGCTGTAGCTAATTTGAAGGCTTTCCTGGTTTGAAGCTTCTGATTTCCGGTGAGAGATAACTCAGTTTAGCTTCCTGTATGGCTAACAACATTCAACGTTTTGCTACAGACTTGTGGTGATAGAGTATTTCAAGACGCTGATTGCAGAAAATGCCGTTTTGCTGACTAGATCTTTCCTTGCCTACCATAATCTCTCCCTCTTCCTGTTATATTTGCGGAACATGCTATTGATGGTTACATTCTGAAATATTTGCATCACTCTTTAGGCTGAAGCCAAGACATTATATATATATATATATATATATATATATATATATATATATATATATATATTCCAAGACCTGCTCTGTTTAATAATAAAATAATAAATTAAATCTCCGTTCTACTTTGACAAAAAATGTAAAACAAAACAAAACAAAACAAAAAAAGCTCCAAAATTGTAGGTATAACCTTAGCCTTCCAAAGAGGAAGCAGAAGAAAAGCATCCTCAGTTGTTCCCTTAATCTGAAAGAAATACTATACATAATTGTAAATTGTTTTAATGCTGCCCCAACTGTCTTTTGTTTTATGGAAGGGCCCTTTCAACAGTGGAATTTCTAATGGTAGGAATAAAATATATTAGCGTGACCTAAACATATCACAATTAGCAATGGCTGGTGCAGTTTCCCTGTGGCTCAAAGAGATATATCGTACGATGGCTGACATAAAATGTCCATATGCATATTTTGTAGCTTTTTCTCTTGGAAACATTTTGCCTAACAGTATACAGGTAGTCCTCGACTTACAACAGTTCATTTAGTGACTGTTCAAGTTACAATGGCACTGAAAATAGTGACTTATGACCATTTTTCACAGTTCCAACTTTGTAGCATCCCCATGATGCTTGGCAACTGATCCATACTTAGGACTGTTGCTGTGTTCTAAGGTCATGTAATCATCTTCTGCAACCTTTTGACAACCAAAGCCAATGGGGAAGCCAGATTCATTTAACAACCCGGTTACTAACTTATCACCTGGAGTGATTCACTTAACAACTATGACAAAAAAGATCATAAAATGGGGCAAAACTCACTTAACAAGTGTCTTACTTAGCAACAGAAATTTGGGCTCAGTTGTGGTCATAAGTCAAGGACTACCTGTACAGAAAGTATAATTTACAACAAATGTATCACAACTAAAAGCCCCCCAAAGAGAAAGCAGTTCTCTCATTGCTGCTTGTCATTGGAGAGAAGTTGATTGAATTTTGAGCTATCGGTACTTGATGCCTGGGAAGACTTTGAAGTCTTTTGTCTTTCCTCATTTGTTTTATGACTGAGAGTGTCCATGTTTCTTTACATCAAGGATTGAGAGACAGTTTGGTGTAGTGGCTAAGGCATCAAGCTAGAAATCAGGAGAATCTAGGCATAAAGCCAACTAGGTGACATGAGGCCAGATACTTTCTCTCAACCCTAGGAAAGAGGCAATGGCAAACCATTTCTGAAAATGTCAAAAAAAACTTGCAGGGATCTGTGCAGGCAGTCTCCAAGAATGAGACACCATTGAACAACAGGAAAAAATGGGGGTGATAGGAAGTAAAGGAGAGGTGATATATCATTACCTTTCAAAATTTACAGAATTTCTACAAAAAAAAGAAACACAGTGAAGGTAGAATGTGGTGTTCTGCCCTTACATTATATACTTTTATATACTTTTGGATATAGTATTTGCTTTCTGGATCACTTAAAATTTGCAACAATGTGCCATGCTGGAAGTGGTTTGTTTACAAAGTAGAATTTATGAAATCTCTAACATAATATAAAGGAGTCTTGAGGATCTGGCTAGATATGTTGGAATATTTACAAAATTAATAATACTGCTTCTTAAAGACAAGTTCTTAAAGAGATGGGAGTACCAGACCATCTCATTTGTCTCCTGAGAAACCTATATGCGGGTCAAGAAGCAACAGTGAGAACCTAACACGGAACCACTGATTGGTTCAAAATTGGAAAAGGAGTCCGGCAAGGCTGTATACTGTCACCCTGCCTATTTAACTTATATGCAGAGCACATCATGAGAAAGGCAGGGCTAGATGAATCAAAAGTTGGAATTAAGATTGCCGGGAGAAATATCAACAACCTAAGATATGCAGATGATACCACTCTAATGGCAGAAAGTGAAGAGGAACTAAAGAGCCTCTTGATGCGGGTGAAGAAGGAGAGTGCAAAAGTTGGCTTGAAACTCAACATTAAGAAAACCAAAATCATGGCATCCGGCCCTCTCAATTCCTGGCAAATAGATGGGGAAGAAATGGAGGTAGTGACAGATTTTATTTTTCTGGGCTCAAAGATCACCTCAGATGGGGACTGCAGCCAAGAAATTAAAAGACGCTTGCTCCTGGGGAGGAAAGCTATGGCAAATCTAGACAGCATTCTAAAAAGCAGAGACATCACCCTGCCAACAAAAGTGCGTATAGTCCAGGCCATGGTTTTCCCAGTTGCAATGTATGGCTGTGAAAGTTGGACCATAAGAAAGGCTGAGCGCAAAAGAATTGAGGCCTTTGAACTATGGTGCTGGAGAAGACTCCTGCGAGTCCCTTGGACTGCAAGGCGTTCAAACCGGTCAGTCCTAGAAGAGATCAACCCCGACTGCTCTTTAGAAGGCCAGATCCTGAAGTTGAAACTCAAATACTTTGGCCACCTAATGAGAAGGAAGGATTCACTGGAGAAGAGCCTAATGCTGGGAAAGATTGAGGGCAATAGAAGAAGGGGACGACAGAGAATGAGATGGCTGGATGGAGTCACTGAAGCAGTAGGTGTGAATTTAAATGGACTCCAGAAGATGGTAGAGGACAGGAAGACCTGGAGGAACATTGTCCATTGGGTCGTGACGGGTCGGACACGACTTCGCAATTAACAACAACATAACAATAATACTGCCCAATTCATAACTCTACAGTGCTACAGATTCCTAATCTCTTATCTAAGATTTAAACCCCATGATTGATTAAAAAATAATGTGCCATATACCTTTAAAAGCGCAGGTAGTTCTCCAGAGACTTTCTACTTCCTTTATTACTGTCTCCTTCCCTACTATGCCACATTTTGTTTTTGCTTATGTGGTTGAGTTAGGTTTGAAATATCTTGCACGTTTACTCCACATTTCAGTAAGCAGTTTGTAGTATACTACAAACCTCTAGAGCTGAACTGCTTCAGGAGATGAGTTATAATTAAAAGTCTTTCTCAGTACTCCTCTTCAGGAACTATCTGTAAATATGAGCTCTGATTGTAGGGGCATTCCAGGCATCTGGAAAGCTGAACAAAGAGCTGTGGGTATAAGATCTGGAAGAGGAGATCTGGGTTTTTCCCCTTTTGAAGAAGTGTAATCTAAAGTGATAATGGGGATAAGACTTTCAGTCGCAATCCTCCCATGGAAAGTATTGTATCTAAAATTAGACTGCACACCACTCTGTGGGGGGGGGGTTCTGGAAAGCCAACTGTTGTGGCTTTTCAGGAGGTCCTGGAAGCAGGTTTGCTGGATTCCCATTTGCAAATTGATTTTGCGGTTTTGCAATTCCTCTTGGCATAGTCTATTGCAACGATATAACAACAACAACAACAATAATAGTTGGAAGGAACATTGGAGGTCTTCTAGCTCAACCGCTGCTCCTGCAGGAAACCCTATACCATTTCAGACAAATGGTTGTCCAGTCTCTTCTTAAAAACTTCCAGTATTGGAGTATTCACAACTTCTGGAGGCAGGTTGTTCCACTGATTAACTGTTCTGTCAGGAAATTTCTCCTTAGTTCTAGGTTGCTTCTCTCTTTGGTTAGCTTCTATCCATTGCTTCTTGTCCTGCCTTCAGGTGCTTTGGAGAATAGCTTGACTCCCTCCTCTTTGTGACAATCCCTGAGATATTGGAACACTGCTATCATGTCTCCCCTCATCCTTCTCTTCATTAAACTAGATATACCCAATTCCAGCAACCGTTCCTTATAAGTTTTGGCCTCCAGTCCCCTGATCATCTTTGTTGCTGCTCTCTGTACTCTTTCTAGAGTCTCAACATCTTTTTTACATCTTTTTTTTGTCACTGCTTTTTTTGTTCCTATGATTTAATATTGTTAACCTTTCCACCCTACAACGGCATGTGGGCCACTCAGAATTGCATATATAAGTCCTAATAGCAAATCAACCAACCAAGCAAATAAATTGGATTCTTCATCTCAAAAGTTCCCACCCAATACAGATAGTCCTCACCTTATGACCATAAATGAGATCAGAATATCCATTGCTAAGCAATGCAGCTGTTAAATGAGTCATGCCCAATTTTATGACCTTTTTTGCCAAAGTTGTAAAGCAAAGCATTGTAGTTGTTGAGTGAATCACATGATTGTTAAGCAAAGTCAGTTTCCCCCATTGACTTTGCCTGTTGGAAACCAGCTGGGAAGGTTGCAAACGGCAATCACATGAGCCAGGATGCTGTAACCGTCATAAATATATGCCAATTTCCAAGTGCCTGAATTTTGATCACATGGAAGATGTAAGTGGGAGGACCAGAGGTAAGTCACTTTTTTTAACACCATTGTAACTTCAAATGGTCACTAAATGAATGGATGTAATTCAAGGGCTATCTGTATAAGGACATCAAAAGATAGTTCAAGTACTGTACTCAGTGATAGGGACAAAGTCAGTGGTTCATCCTCATCCTCATGGCTTTCACTGATATATAATACCCCATTGCTCTTTGGTTTCCTGATGTTATTACAAAATCCATCTAGAGTTATCTTAGAGAACAACAGTGGCTGAGATTTTTTTTAAAAAAATTGTGCATATTTATTCCTGAGCTATTTTTTTTCCACTGTTACTTTACAGAAAAAAGAACTGCCTGTTGCAATCAGAGTATGGAATGGGAATGGGATGGGGCCAAGGAGGAGGGAGATTATCTCCTTGGAAAAATTCATTCCAGGA